ATGTCAATTTTTAAAATAGCCTACATAGCCTAATCTGAATGAATCAAACAAATCCAAGGATTTTCTTGATTTTTGCATAATGATATCTCCGCAACAATTTAAAGCTTTCATTTTATAACTTATAAAACATGAATGCAAATTAATGCAATATCATATGTAAACAACAAAATTGTATATGCTATGGTAGCCGCAAACCACGAGTGAGATGGAGAAAATACAAGCACAGAAGCCCTAAGCTAAAATCAGAAGCTCCAGACATCACATTTAATCTAATAATTTCTATTCAAATTTGACAGAGATTTGTGTTTGGCGTATTATTGAGAGAGAGAAAAAAAAACATGCCGGTTCTTAAAATGAATTCAGTCAGTGTTTTGGCTTTGTAATCTAAATTTGTCATTTGAGTGAAATATATAGAGCAGGACTATTTATTTTAATCTTATTTAAATTATTCTAATCTAAAGATTATTATATTTTCTATGCTGCTGAAAATACAGCAGGTGCGTGAAGGCGTTCTGTTGTTAATATGTTTGCATATCAAAATAAATCAGTATTTTAAAATGCTATATTTAATGTGCCAGACCAAAATAGTAGAGTTGTCAAAATTAATTGTTTCTTCTGTGCACCACAATGCAGACGAAGTCAATTCGGTATCGGTTAAGTAATAGATCATCACCGGTTATTACATACTGACGTCTTCAATCTTCTATGCGCTATGTCAAGGTAGCTTACTATGGCGAGGGAGATGAGTGCGAGTAATTAAACACTCCAACTACTTAAAAAGCAGATAACTGTGCACAATTCACTGCATTTGTTTGCTGGACTTTCACTGACACTGAAGTTACAGCAGAATTTCACTGTAATTGAGAACATGAAAGTAAACTTTTCTCTCGCTCTCATTGTGGCCCTTTGATCTGCTGGTGTGACATTTCCTCTTGGCTGTTACAGCGAAGAGCATGTCTGCAGAGCGAGTCTTCTCCATGGCGTCTATCATGGATTAGCTATGAACACTGCTGCTGTTTATCAGTGTCACTCATCAGTAAACAGAGCCAGAGCATTAGAGCCAATCACAGCCCTTTCTGTTGAGCGTGTGAGCAATCATAGGGGTGTTAGAACTCGCTCGACATTGCTCATAAAGTGAGCGGCATATTTACATCTGTTTTTTTCGCTATAGACTGTTTTCACACGGCCAGCATTTTTAAAAGCGATGTCGAGGCTGCGGTGAGAAGAAAAACCCAGAAGTACTGTTGGGAGTTGCGTAGGAACGTTGTGTACTTGGCTGTGTATCTTATCAGCGAAGATAAAGTGACACAAATATTGTGTATTATACCACTGCCTTCCAAGTGACCCAAAGGTTCGTTTTGAATGAATGGTGAAAATAAAAAGAGATATCAGAGCTCATTTTTTAGCTAAGTTAAGGGAAATAGCACTAGTTAGCTAACGTTTTCTTTTCCAAACACACGTTTTAGATGCCATATTTATCAAACTCGAGTTACTGAACTGATTCTTTCACTATATTAGACTTGTCAGGATGCTGAATTAAAAGAAAAACATCAATTTCCCGCTAACATTTAAAGGGTCACGAAACAACAAAACACATTTTTTGAGCTGTTGACAGGCGTATATGTGTCCCACACTGCTAAAAACACTATTAAGACACCTATATTTTACTAAAAAGTGTAAATTGGTTGTTTTTGCGTTATTTCAAGCAAATTCGTACTTCCTGTTTGAAACGAATTTTTGAAGCTGCGTCACGGTCATGACATAATAGCCTGTATTCCAGCCTGCAGACTGGGTGTCTGCCAGAGTGAGTCTTATTACGTCTTACAGTGTGATGCATTAATGCATGAGTAAGGCTTGGTTCAAACCAATCAGCGCGCTCTATTGTGCAACTTCATTAATATTCATTACTGTGTTTACACGACATAGACGCCACGTTGTGTTGGCAAAACAAGCGTGAAGTGTTGCTTTTATAGTTTGCTGCCGTTAAGTTTTGTTTTCTTTTTCACTCTGTGAGAGCTCAGACTCACATGTGGATGCGACGCTCGACAACAATAACTTACGTGTCTAAGGAGGATTATTGTTTACCTGAGAGCTGTTCTCATCTGCAAACGCTGAGATCTGGAATCGCTTGTAGTATTCTCTTCATAAAGACGCGGCAATAGTTGCTGGTGATTGTCCAGTCTCTACAGATTTGGTAAGTGAGCGACTAGTGCTCTTTGTTTATTCAGTTTGTTCGTATCAAACTAAGGTAACTATTGCACCGTAACATGTTACGACCACAACCAAACTTTAACCTTGTGTAGGGTTTTTAACCGCATTTTGTGACCAGAATAACACACGCGGCTTTTTGACGCTACCTGCCGTGTGCATCTAAGTTTTCGGAAAATGCTGAGGTTTTTTTTTTCTCTCATTCGCCGTGAGATATCAAACATTGCATGAAAAATTAGAGCAGATCCTCGAATCAAATATCTCGTTTGTCGCGAGGGGCATGAACGAATTCCCTGAATGAAAGAGCCAAACTGCAGTTAAAGTCCACCATTTAATAATTTGGCAAATAATTCCACTACAGATGTCCATGTAGGTTAAACACCATCTCTTTCTCCTGTGTGTAAGTATTTTGACTGAAACTTGCGCGTGCCCAAATAGACACTCCCACACCCTCCCACTTTAGTTCCTCCGACACTCCCCCCTAAACAGAGCTGGACACGCCCACTTTTCTGACTTTTTCCAAAGTAGAGGTGTGAAAACACCCTGCTGAAACGAGGGGGTTTCATGGCCCTTTAAGGCACTGTTGATGGCTTTCTTAAAAGAGCGCTGATTTACTGAGAACAAACACAGATGAGCCGAGCGATCTGTTCAATGACTCGATCTTGATCTTCACGGCTGCTTCGCGCTCCAGTCTCTGTGTATCTGTGTTTGCACTGGGTGAAGACCAGTAAACTTAGTGCAAACACAAATACACGGAGACTGGAGTACGAAGCGGCCCTTTAACGTTAGCCAGTTTTAAAAGACAACACTATTACAGACAACATGAGGGTGTGCTATAGAGGGCTGCAGTGTTTTATCGCTCACCGTGTTACATAGGCTGAAGCAGGAAAGCGTCCACACGGTGTTTAACTGATGCCATGAATTGAAGCCTAGCAGGAAACTTGAGCATATTACTCTTACAGAGATTGTAATGTTGTTTGATGCCTAATTTGCTTTTAATTATTTAAATTAAACTTACTCAATAATATTAAAGTGATGGTTACCCCATTTCTGCATTTTAAAATCGCGACAACAGCTAGAGTTTTGTAGTCCACAGCATGTTGCTGCAATGTTTACAGTGTTAGTCATATACTTCCGAGTTTCTTCCCACCGCATCCTCACTTTGGTTCTTTAAAATGTCGGCCACGTGAAATAAGCGTATAAATGCTTATGTTGATGCTTTAAGTTTTTAAAGGTACAGTTCTGACTGTATGTATTAAAGGACAAAATTGTATTACAAACAATATTTATATATTTTCATTCAATTTTCTTGTGCTGTGAAGTAAAATATAAAATTGTGTATATAAAGCGTAGTCAACACACCATGGTGCACTGAGATATCAAATTAAACTGAATCGATGGCATGATAATCGTAACTGAACTTTGAGACCAGTGTATGTTCACACCTCTACAAAATAGACACGTCAATTGTTTTTTTTTTAAATAATAATTTAACATTAATCTGGCCAGTTAACGGTTAATATTCAGCTTACAAACAGTGGTTGTGGGTTGGCAAAATTAGCTGAAATAAGCATACCTAACAAGAACAATTGTGTTGCCAAGTAAAATATCAAAATGTTTATGGAAAGCATCTCCAATGCACTGAGATTACATGATACCGAACAAATTACATGATAATCGTAAATGAAGTAAACCATGAGACCAGTATAGACCAATTATCAACCTACGTCACGCATGACGTCACACGGGTCCCCGGTTGCAAAAATAGACAGGCTGCAATAGTAAACATGTCGTGTTGTGCCAAATTTGAATAGAAAACTTAACTTTTACCATACACCACACTGCTTTAATGCCAACTGCAGAAGTTTGGCTAGAAGAGAGCTGAATGAAGTGACGACCTTATTAGAAATGCTGGACTCTGCTACGCTGAATCATACAAATTACTCATTTTTGATTGCAGAAATGATTTCAGCAAAAACAGTTACATATGGTAAATTAAACTGCGGACACTAAATGCAAAGAATGAAACGTGAAAGTGTAAGTTATTAAGGTAAACTCAGTTTTATATTTACACATTCATTTAGTGACAAGTTGTGACACACTCCCTATATTGTTTACCATGGCATTTTGAATATTCGGTCTGAAATAACCTGCAAGTAGAACTTGAAAACAACAATAACACTGTTTATATGACTGTGAACACTTTGATAGTCATTGTCTGCTAATATGATTTCACTCTTTAGGGCATAGCATCCTGAATGTTTACAATCATGGCAATTGGTCTATAAGTTCACATCCCTAGACTGAACAGTAGAACCAGCTCATTTGCATTTGAAGGCACAGGTTACAAATACAGCTATAATTTCCTTGTACCCTAAATTTATACTTAAATTTACTCAAAGACACAATCTGGAGACACCAAAGACTTATCTTACATCTTGTAAAAAGGGTAAAATAGGAGAAATTTAAAGATATTTTTTATTTTTTTAACCATTATTATTATATTATACATAATACATTATTATTATTATTATTATTATTATTATTATTAGTGCATACTTAAAATGTTAATAATAATGGGAAGTATTATTTAATTTAACTTTTTTATGTTGCATCGCAAGAATTTTTCAGAATTATTACTTGTTTGTTATTATTATTTCTTTTTCTATTAAGGTGAAACAACCAAAAGAATTTTGCACCAGCCATAATCAATTCAGTATTACCATTTTCAAGTAATGCCATTTGATCATGTCACTCACTGCATTGTGATAATATAATATGCATAGTGTTACCAGTTCAAATAAGCTGCTGAAGTTCCTCGGTTTACGGGTTGTTTGTTCGGCAATCTTCATCTGCTCTTCTTCATCTTTGTCATCTTCCTTAATAAGCTCGTGCTCTTGTAACACGGCCTGAGCGCGTTGTTCGCCCTTCAGCCTACGTAGAGCGCGACTCGACATGTTGGACGTCAGCACAACTTATCAATAACCACGAATCTAGCCCATAGGAACTAGCGCACTCGTTTCACAAACTTGCACTGAAACAAACAGGCTTACTAGTCCTCTACCCCTTCCTGGTCTTCTTCTTCGTTTAGCTTAAAGGCGAGTTGTAAGGTAACACTCAATAGGGCGCTGCCACCTACTGCGATGGAGTATGAAGATATGACATCAACCCAGAATATCTTTCTATAAATAGTACAATGAAAAAATAAGACAATTAGTTTTTTTTTCATTACAAGTTTCACAGGAGTAGTCCATCTTTATTTTAAAAATGTTCCAATATATGTTTCACAGGATAAATTCTTTCTTTGTAATAAAGAAAATGATGTTTATAACATTGCTTAGAATTTATCAACTAATGTTTAAGCCTTACACAACATTAAGTCTGCAAGTACTAATGACCAAAAAAAAAAAATATATGTATCAAGCTGTAGGATAAAACATCATTTACTAAATTTTTTATGCATTTATTTGGATTGCTGTCTTTTAAAATATTCAAATTTGCTATGAATATTGTCTTAGTTATATTATTCAAATTAGTTTTTTGCTGCAATCGTTTATAAGAAGAGATTTAATACATTTTGAGGTAGCCTAAAATTCATTATAATTGCATAATCTCTGGGCATAATTGCAATTTTAATTTTGTCAAAAATTTGTGTATGATAACATTACTATTGATCAACTGACTGACCAAAAGTATATGGTTTTAAAACCAGTTATATAAAATGTTTCTGTTATTCCAAATGTAATACATTAGAGTGGAAATATGCTTGGGCCAACGTCCACTTAATGAGAGCTTGTTGATGAAATCTTGCCAATTGAATCTCAATATTAACTTTAAATTTATCTGTCAATACAATGATTAGCCTACACTATAAAAAAGTAAATCAAAACCACCTAATGACTTAAACAAGAAATTTGGCAATGTGTAAGAACATTAGTTGAAGTCAGAATTATAAGCCCCCATTGGATTTTTTAAAAATATTTCCCAAATGATGTTTAACAGAGCAAGAAAATTTTCAAAGTATGCCTGATAATATTTTTCTTCTGGAGAAAGCCTTATTTGTTTTATTTTGGCTACAATAAAAACAGATTTAATTTTTTTATAAACCATTTTGAGGGCAAAATTATTAGCCCTTTTAAGCTAAAATTTTTTTTCATCGAATTAGTCTACAGAACAAACCATAGTTATACAAAAACTTGCCTAATTACCCTATCCTGCCTAGGTAACCTAATTAACCTAGTTAAGCTTAAATGTCACTCTGAGCTCTTTAGTGTCTTGAAAAATATCTTGTCAAATATTATTTACTGTCATCATGGCAAATATAAAATAAATTAGTTATTATAAATGTGTTATTAAAACTATTATGTTTACAAATGTGTTGAAAAAAAAATCGGTCCCACTTTATATTAAGTGTCCCTAACTACTATGTACTTACATCAAAAAAATAAATACAATGTACTTACTGTGTTTATAATGTATTTGAGAACACTTGTGGTGCTTTTGAGTTAGGATAGAGGTTGGGTTATGGACAAGTTTGGTGGCATGGGTAGGTTTAAGGGTATGTTAAGGTGTAAGGGATGGTCAACAGTGTATTTACACATGTAATTGCAAAAGTTAATTACAGATCTAATTACATACATGTATTTAATATCGCATAAGTACACAGTAAATACATGTATTTACACAATAAGTACATTGTAACTACTAAAAGGCAACTTAACAAAGTGGGACCAAAAAATCTTCTCCTCATTAAACAGAAACTGAGGGAAAAATAAAGAGGGGGCTAATAATTCTGACTTCAACTGTATATTTTTATATATATTTTTTTTACAACTTTTTACTTTTACTCCTTATTTTTTACACAAATATCTGTACTTTCTACTTCCTATATTTTTTAAACAAAGGCTAGAGAGAATAAAACTACACCATGGTATAATAGTCATACTCACACTCTCAAAACAGCAACCCTTGCCCTAGAACGTAAATGGAAAAAACTAATAACAATCCTAGGTTAACACTATTGCTAAATTAACAAATAATCTGTCATCTTTGGAACAAAACGTTCCACCGCAAATTAGTAGTTATGTCTTCATGATTTTTTTAATTGATAAAATAATAGGCTTTAGAAAGAAAGTAGAAGATCTTTCTGGACCTTTCTGGAGAAGATCTTAAAGGAGCTTTCTGCACCGCCTTGTACTTCAGATCCAGTAAACATTCCAATAAATTAAAATAACCTACAGTGCTGTAAAATCATAGAACAGGAAGAGCTAGATAAAATTATAAATAGCTCTAAACCAGCCACATGTATGTTGGACCCAATTCCAACAAAATTACTAAAAGGATTGCTAGGAGAACCTATTGTTAACTTAATCAACACTTCTTTATCTTTAGGCCATGATCCAAATCCTTACAAGCTATCTGTTATTGCTTCTTAAAATATTGCTTCTTACCTATAAAGCTTTAAATAATCTAGCTCCTGTTCATCTAACCAACCTTCTGTCTCGCTACAATCCAAATTGCTCTTTAAGACCTCAAAACTCAGGGCTTCTGGTACCTAGAATAGTAAAGTCGAGTAAAGGAGGTCGAGCCTTCTCATTTATGACACACTCACCCAACTCAAAACTAGATTAAAAAACTAGATTAAATATATTTTTAGTAAAGCATACACTCATCATTTGGCAGTATGATACATGAATGTGCTCCACGCAGGTTTCTGCATCTTGTTTATACACGCTATGAACAGCAGCTACGTTAATTATTCTCTTTATTCTCCATTTATACCTGGGTATACTCATTCCGAGGACCTCAGACTATACACCGCCACTGATTCGTTTCTAAGACCAGCGACTAGATGATTCCATGGCTTCCATATCCTGAACCAGGCCGTATCCTGAGCAGCTGTTGTTGTGGTCATGGAGGAGAGAAAAGCATGAGACTGATTCCTGTGACGCTTCAGGGACAGAAGGAGAAATGGTCATGCCTGAGCATGGTTTCTCTTGAGGCTTTTTAATTCTTCACTTTCGTCAATTAGTGAAGTTTTTTCCCCGCCGCTGTCACCACTGGCTTGCATGGTTTGGGATCTGTAGAGCTGCACATCGATGGATTTGCTCTTCAGGGTTTGGACTCTCAGTAGTGATTATTAAACCACACTGAACTGAACTTAAACTCTGAAAACTGAACTACACTGTCTCAATTTACTATGATATTTTATGTGAAGCTGCTTTGACACAATATACATTGTAAAAGCGCAATACAAATAAAGGTGAATTGTATTGAATTTAATTGAATTGGGTTTGTTACTTTAGTTTAAATGTGTTTTGTGGCGCGATCTTATTTCTTCTTATTGCGCAGTTTTAACGCCTTTTTGATTTAGTCAGTCTATTTTTTGTCATTGCACAGCTTTTCCAACCTCTGATCACACACCGTAGAAATAGAGTTGTTAATTAAGCTTACCATAGCCATAGTGTAAGATTTTCGGCACGTATGATTTTCGCCACATTTTGTGACAGGATAGTCTATACACAGACAGCAGTTTGACAAAAATTCAATTAAAATATCACTTATCTAGCTACTCCTCGTATTAAATATCTTGTTTGTCAAGAGGGGCATATATGAAATGTTTCTGAATGAAAGTGAAAGTGCCAAACAGCAGTTAAAGTCCAAAAATTAAAAATGAAACACCGGAAATTACATGAAATTCCAGAGGAAATGTGGATAGTGTGCAGGGGCGGACTGACCATCTGGCAATTCTGGCAAATGCAAGTAGGACTGGACCATTTTCCATGTGGTTTACCTCACAGTCCAAAAACATGCGGACAGGTTAATTGGGTAGGCTAAAATGTCCGTAGTGTATGATTGTGTGTGTGAATGTTTCTCAGAGATGGGTTGAAGCTGGAAGGGCATCTGCTGCGTAAAAACTTGCTGGATAAGTTGGCGGTTCATTCCGCTGTGGCAACCCACACAAAGGCAGGGAGAACATGCAAACTCCACACAGAAACGGCAAATGGGCCAAGGTTCGAACCAGCGACCCAGCGACCTTCTTGTTGTGAGGCGACAGCTCTACCAACTGCGCCACTGCCTCACCCCATCCTTATGTTACAGTATGTAAATAGGAAGACAGCAATGAGAGAGACACAAATGCTGGCAGTTTCTTAATACTGTGTATAGAAAACCGACATAGAAACCAGTTAGGGATTGCCAGTTGGGGACTAGTTTAACACAGATGTCGGGTTTGGGCGCGCTTATGTCATCAATGCTGCGCTGTTCAGTGAGCACTCTCGCTCAGCACAGTGGAGATTTCTCTAGTTATATCGTTTCAGTCGTTTGCTATGCAGTGACATGCAGTCAAATATTTCGCCAAAGAGTCCTTAGGGATGCGGTGACACGCAGTCAGATATTTCGCCGAACAGATCCGCCACTTTTGACGCTCATAAACAATCATAAACCCTCGTGCTGCAGGAATGAGGAAGTTTGCTGAAGGTGCGCAGCTTTCGTGCAGTGAGGTGTCTGCAGTTTGCGTTCATTGAACAGTATGAATGATTAATAAATCCATATGAAACAGTCCCTTAAAAGTCACGTCTCGCTTTCAGTTTCGGGCTTTGGCGCAAGTGAACCATGCTCAGGCCCACCTCTTCCAACTGGGCCAGGGCGCTCTCACACTTCTCAAACGATCCGGGAAACAAGCCTGGGCATGGTTCGGATAGCTTAGTGTGAGTGTGCCCTGAGATCATTGGCTAATTTAAAATAAAAGCTCATGTGAGCTTTTTTAATACTGTGGCTCTAATTAACGATAAATTAACCTTTATGATAGGAGTAACTTGGGAATGTGTCACACACACATACACACCTTTACACACAAATGGAGATGCAGCACTAGCAACACTTAAGCATACTTTAATTCACAAATGACTATATGTCATGCAGAGTTCAAATCTGCTGGTAAACACAAATGTTGCTGCTTTTTTTGCATGTCCATTTGTTTGTAAAGGTCTGTGTGTGTGTGTGTGTGAGTGAGTGAGTGTGTGTGTGTGAGTGTGTGTGTGTGTGTATGTGTGTTTGTGTGTGTGTGTGTGTGTGTGTGTGTGTGTGTGTGT